ATAATGTAAATGTTTCCAAATCAGCCAAGCCAGAGAATCCCCTGAGTGTACATCTATCTTGGGGAAAAAATCCAAAATTTATCTTTTTTTGTCCCCAAAGTACACCCTTTTTCTTTTTTAAACAGCTCTTATAAATGTGTCATCTGTGCCTAAGAAAATTGAATTGCAAAAGGTCCTGCCTTATTCTGGAGCAGTAATAGTCACTACGCTGCCCACCCTGGGCTACATTTAAAAACATCCAGAGGGTTTTACACAAAAGCTGAGCTTGTAAGATGCAGCCTTTGAAAAGAATTTTGTGGTTCCTACTCATTTAAAAATAGATATTTAAATATGATCATCTCTACTGGGAAAGTTCTACCCATATCCACTGCTTAAGAAAAAACATTTGTCAAATGTTATCTCTAGGAAACATCCACACAGCAAAGTATAAGCAGACAGAAATCCTGGCCTGACATTAATCGTTCTAACACACAGTTTGTAGTGTATAATTTCACAGTCCCTAGGTTAGTGCACAGTTTGTATGATAACTCCATCTGCAAGTCCTGAGAGCACCACTACCCTATTTTCTTGTGGGCCACTATGACTGGCGTGCTTTAGTTCAGTTATCTAAGTCCAAAAAGGTCCAGAGAGGTCTACTCTGGAATGTATTCAGAGGGAGGGTCTGGGAAGGGCCACATGGCATCTGTTACCAGGACAGCCATCATACAAGAGGAGCATGTGGCCAAGAGCTTCAAGTAACTCACTTGCCAGGTAACTTACTTAGGCTGCTCCTTACCAGACAAAGGCCTTTACCTCCCCACCTTACCTAACCCTCATGGCATCCCTGTGAACAAGGTTTGATCATTAGTTTGACAGACGGGAGAATTGAAGCTCAGAGCTTTTGCTTGGATGTTTATATTCAGCACAATGGCCAGTTAGGCCAATTACAAAGACCTTCTGACTTCCACATACAAAAAAAATATATTTTTGCAGTGCTTAACAAAGAAGCAAGAAGGGAACATGGGAGTCCTGGATCCCAGAAGCAACATGAAACTTAAAGCCAGATCTGCAGGCACAGAGCCTGTGATACTGTCCCAGAGTCAGGGCACATTCACAGTGGGAGGCCTTGCTGAAAACCGGGACCCTCAAAGCTCAGGACTCAAAATCAGGCATAGGCTCTGAGGCACTCTGCCCTGGTGTTGAAGCGCGAAGAGGAGGTAGGAAGAGATGAAGCTTACATGACAAAGATCTTGAAATCCAAACTTACATACATACCATACTTAGCTCTGAACACCAAGCTAATAAATTATACCTGGAAAGGAGCTTCAGACTAAGGATACCCCTAGAGTATCAGGCAGAAGTAAGCAGGAGCCACCATGGATGGATAGTTCAACCATGTTGAAAAGACTCCATGTTAAAGGCGAACTGCCCTGGAGTTCACAGTCAGAATCATAGAACTTGGGGAGTGTACACAAGTATTTTCATTCCCAAGAACTTACTCTGACAACTAAGTTTTTATATGACTAAAGTGATAAAATGATGTATAAAACCATAGGGATGTAACCAAGTACAGTGAGAAAGAAACTGGTAAATTTTGCAAAGTTCCAAAGAGACTATCTAGAAATTTCAAGTACGGTCATTTAAATTAATGACCCGAAGGGCAAATTAAACCGCAGATCAAACACAAAAGAAGGGGAAATAAGTGACGTGGAATAGAAATCTGAGGAATTAAATCAGAATGGGACAAATAAAAAGATAAAAAATGAGGAAAAACTTAGAGACATCAAAGATAGGACAAAGTTCTTAAAGCACTTAATAGGATTCCTAAGGAAAAGACTAGATAAAAACAGCTTATAACAGAACGTTCCAGAACTCCTGAAAGGTTGGAATCCTCAATAAAGGATCCATGGCACAGGCTCGCTGTGGTACATGCATCCAGGCTGAGTCTCAGGCTGCATGAAACATTGTCAGTCCAAAAGGTCTTTGGAAAATCTTTGCCTGATTGTTACAAGAAGCTAAAGGGAACCTTTGTACATACCCAACTACAAAAACAGATTCACAACCCTAAGGAATTAGCTCTCTTACTTTGCCTGGCCTTATGTGTATATAAAGAATCTGAGGTTTAGAGAATATAAGCAATGCATGCAGTCCTACCACTCATGTGAGAATTCAGTCCACATCCAGGCTATTTGGCCTTTTTTCTTGTTAAGATGATATACAGATGGGTTACAGTTAATGTAAGTGAGGTAATAAGTACATTTCTTTTAGAACAGTGTTACTTCTCCCAGTTTAGGCTATTTGACTTGAGAGAAGCTGTCTTACGCTTGGCTCATTCTGCCATGAACATAGCACAGAAATAATGTTCATGCTCACCATTTAAGAACTTGTTGCCAAGAATCTCTCCAAAGCCACTTAAAGGACTAGCTATACTTCTGAAAGAGCTAAGTTCAAATCCTGTGTCTGATTCCTCAGTGAAGTTTATGTGACATTCAAATTATTTTACCATGTTACTTTCACCTCTGGCTTCTTCTCTTTGACATAAGGGTAACAATGGATGCTACCTCATTGGGTGGGTGGATTCAATTACCTGTTCCTTGTAAAGTATTTAGCATAATGTCTGGATTCAATCCTTGCTAGGATTCACTATCACCATGAGTTTAATGTAGATATTAATGATAGCCACCACCAATTCTGGATCACCTTGCCCAAGGTTCTTTTTGTTGTTGTTGTTCTTAATATATATTTTTTATTGTAAAGATACTGTATAGAGGGGTTACAGTTACATGCGCAAGGTAATGAGCCCATTTCCTATTGAACATTGTTACCCCCTCCTTTATTTTTCCCCTGCCATACCTTTCCTCCTCACCTCCCCAACTCCTCCCTCCCCTCTCCTACCTCCTTCCCCACCTCCCACAAAGTTGTGAAGTTCGTTTTCAACATACTGTCTTGTACATCTCATTGCTACAATGAGTCATCTTGTATCCTTATTTCAGCATTTTGTTATTTCCCTTCCCCTCCCTAAATTAGAAAAATGTATATATAAGATGCAGGATACTGGAATCAAATACAGTGACAAAAGGGGTTGTACCATGGGGGAAGAACATACAAAGAAACAAAAAAATCAAGAAAGATAAAAATCTCTTGCGTCCCTATCTTGGGGTTCATTTCGCTTAGCATCAGGTTATTTGGTCATATGTACATAGCGGTTGACCTCTTCTGCTTGTCCTGGACATATACTAGTTATTGCAGATAAGGGAAACCATGAGACCTATGTTTCTTTGAGTCTGGCTTACTTCATTTAATATAATTTTTTCCAAGTCTTTCCATTTCCTAACAAATGGGGCAGTGTCATTCGTTTTGATGGAAGCCTAGAATTCCAATATATATATCACATGTTCTTGATCCATTCATCTACTGAGGTTGCCTAAGGTTCTTGAATAGGCATGGCTCCTTCACAGTTCTTCCCAGGTACCACAAAACAGTATGTTTTAAAAGAGAATGCCAGGCACTGAGTATGGTGGCTAACATCTATAATCCTAGCTACTCAGGAGACAGGGATCAGGAGGACAAAGGTTCAAATCCAGCCTAGACAAAAATTAACAAGAACTCATCTCAACCAATAAAAAGCTGGGTATTGTCCTGTCCATCTAGTTATATGAGAAGTAGAGAGGCATCAATAGGAGAGTTGTGGTTCAGTCTGACCTAAACCAAAATATAACAAAAGCAAAATAGGACTGCAACTGTGGCACAAGTGGTAGAATACCTGCCTGGAAAGCAAAAGTCCACAAGTTCAAACTCAAGTTCTAAAAAGGGAGGGGAAGTAAAAGACAGCTTCCAGGGATTGCTTTGGTGGTAAACAAGAGCAGGCAAAAGCTAATAAAATTTCAAATTAGCCATGACTTTTCACAGCCCTTCAATTGTGCTGGCTGATTTAATGGTCATCGTTCCTACTTGCTGGGATTGAAAAATGGAACCTTTCTGCAGAGTTACGGATGCAGAGCTGAACCTGTCATGTGAACATCAATACCAGAATGCAAATAACCCTCTGCTTAGGCTGTAATTATGTGTTTGAGCAATGTCTGGCAGGGGCAGTGTGAGAGTGTGTGGTAGACCTGTTGTCTGTGGGAGACGACAGGCACTTTGCTAGCTAGTTGTACTAGGGAACTGGGACAAGAGCTCCAAGTTACAGACCAGGACAATGCTGCAGTGAGGAAGGCAAGACCAATTTTCCAGGTGAGCAAATTGGAGATAAGAGTCTCATTGACTCTCCTAGCCAGGCTGGCTTTGAACCTCAATCCTCAGTTCCCAGCCTACTGAATAGCTAAGATTACAGGTAGGAGCCACTGGTGACTGGCTTCATGTTTTAAACATGTCTACTAAGTGCTGAGGGTAAACAAAAATGACCAGAATAGATCTGTGACCAGACTGGGTGAGGAAGGTTGTCCCATATCACACAACTACTAAACAGCAAAGCCAGAATTTGAGCTCAGTCTGGAATTCATTCCTGTGGAAAAGAGAATTGGAGGCCAATGGTAACACAAAAGGCAGAGCTGAACCTTCCGAAGGCTGAGCTCTATCCCTCAAGCCACGTAATCTGAGGGCAGCTGGGAAAGATGCTAAAGTAATGATGTCCTCACCCCCACATCTCTTTCTTACCCGCAGAGCCAGAGGGCCACCAGGTCTTAGAGTTTTACCTCCTCAGTGTCTCTCAAAACCTGCCTTTTTTGGTTTCCATGGTTACTGCTCTAATCAGATGTTCAGGTCAGGTGTTATCTCACCTCAGGGCCTTCATAGGGTCTGTTCCTGCTCTCTCTTTGGAAGAGAAAAACCCTACTTAATCTATCTCACCTATTAGACTGATGGTTCTGGGGCCAGACCTGAAATACCTGAATCTCCATGGTGTTCAGCAAAGGTCAGTTTACTGCAGAGTGTAAAATAGCAAAGAAATGGCTGGATGTGTGGTGGGCAAACATGACTAATTGAACATGGCTACATAAACCATATGCTCTGTCACCCTGCAGATGGTTTGGTGGACTGCATGGACCCTGACTGTTGTCTCCAGCCCCTCTGTCACTCCAATTCACTGTGCCTGGGCTCCCCAGATCCTCTGGACATCATCCAGCACATGCAAACCCCTGTGTTCCAACAAAATCTCCAGTCCTTCTATGATCGAATCAAGTTCCTCGTGGGCAGAGACAGCACACACATCATCCCTGGAGAGAACCCCTTTGATGGAGGGTAAGTCCATGGGCCTCTGCTCTAGCAGCAGCTCTCTAGAAAAGCCAGGTTATCCTCAGGGCTACATCTGGGTGGAAGGAGGCCAGAGGGTGGGCTTCAAAGGTACCTGACATCCCTGGAAGCAGAGCAACAGCTTCAGTGCCTATGTGGAAAATATCTGCTAACCAAGACATTGAGAATTTGTATGAGCAAGGGATGCTGCTCTTGCTGGATGATAGATGGAGGGAGTAAAAAAAATCAAAGGTCCAAGGGGAATCTTGGATCAATAGCCACTTTGCAGTCAGCTCTTCCTGATCCTGCAGGCTCCAGATGAGCTGAAGGGCCTTGACATTCTTTTCTCTCAGGATTGACATCCAGAAGATTTTGCAGGCATGGGAATGGGAGTCATTATTGCATCTCAGAGCACATGTCCACACAGTTGTGAAATCCATTGCACAGATTCTTTTTTTTAATGCTTAATTGGATATAACAAACTTTCCTGCCCAGGCAGGCTTTGAGGCACAATCCTCAGATCTCAATTTCCTGGGTAGCCAGGATTACAACCATGAGCCACCAACCATTCTGATTGAGCTCTGTGCCAGAACCAGGGCTGGAATCCCAGAGTCTCTGCCTGTCAGTCATTCACAGTCTGCTGAGAGATTGAAAAAGAGAGAGTTGCAGTGTGCTTGGGCACAAACATGTGCCTGGCATCCTATGGGACACACAAGAGAAGCTTTTGGGTTGTAAGAAGGCCAAGACTTAAGGTCTTAGCTATTTGCAATGGCACCTGCCCATAATTCAAGGTACTCGTAAAATGGCATCAGGAAGAGTGAGGCCAATCCAGACAAAATTGAGTGAGACCCTTCTTCAAAACCAACCAAAATACAGACCAAAGGGCTAGAAGTGTGGTTCAAATGGCAGGACCACTTTCTTAGCAAGTGTAAGACTCTGGGCTCAATCCCTAGAAGAAAAAAAACAATTCTTAAAAAATGAAAACCTGCTAACTAGGCATGGTGGCACATATCTGTAATCCCATCACCCAGGAGGCAGAAGCAGGAGGTTGGAGAGTTGGAGGCCAGCCTGGGCAAAGTTACCAAGATTTCATATCAAAAGCAAACTGTGCTGGGAATGTCGTTCAGGTGGTAGAGGGCTGCAAGTGCAAGGCCTGATTGCAGGGGGCTGCGGGGCGGGGGGGGGGAGGTGGCGCAGGTAGGGATGGGAGACATGAGAAAGAGCTGAGTAAGCAAAGGAGGGGGTTGCTGGGGGAGAAGATTGCTACACAAAGATCCTGGGGTATAATGAGATGCAGGAGCCAGATAAAGATGGCACTCTGTTCTCTGCTCCCCAGGACAGGGCAGAGAACCAGAACAAGGCATCCAAGGAGAAAGCTTTATGATAATTTTGTTTGAATGTCTTCCAGTGCCTCATATGTGCAGAGCTGTGACTTCAGCATCATAGACCATGTGCCTTCTGTGTTTCTGACTTCAGTGCAAGGGTCCTTGTCCTAAGAGGATAATGGGGGCTTGAGAGTAGAAAAGGATTGGAGGGAATGCTAGGCAGAGGGCTTCCCTGTGTAGATGCCTGGGTGGATGATGATAGTCTCACCAGAGCCTATGACCAGAGCAGGGATGCAGGGACAGTGTGGGGAAGGAACACACACCTCGGTAGGACACCCAAGAGGAAGTGTTCTTTATAGCTCTAAGTTATTCTGGAGGTTAGAGCCTAAAGTTCCTCCATACCAGGCCTGAGCTGACTCATAAGCACCCCAGCACTTGCTAGAGGGGCAGGTGTAAGAGTGAAGAAGAGCCATGAGACCCTCTCTTCCCATCATCCCTGGGTAAGTAGAGGCAGCAGGGAGAAGGCATCATGGCTGCACATAGTAGACCCCAGGGCCACGCTCTTCCCACTGCCCCTGTCCATCCTTGCAAGGAGTATGATTAGATGGGAACATGAAAAGAATCCAGCAAGAGGGATGAAACATCTGGATACTTTGGAGACCACACCCTTCTACCTACTCCAAGAATTCAGAGAACTGAGGGACAGAGTGCCTTTCCCATATTCACAAGGCCAATCAAGAGGTAGAGCCAGGAAGGGACCGTGGGGCTGGAGGAGGGCAACCTATTCATTTATTTTGGCTCAAAATGTTGCTTTGGTATCTGAGTAGGAAACTTCCTGCTATTTTATTCGGTTGTGTGATTTTGTATATATTTGTGGGCCTTCCTTTGGTGTGAGTTCTTTAAATCAACAAGAGATATAAATAAGATTCCTACCTAAGAAGTGTTGCTTGCCCTGCCTTTCATTACCAAATCCATATGGCATCCAATTATAGCTTGTTAGCCGCCTATAGCTGTTCTGCATGCAAGGTGCCTTGACCATGGCAGTCTGCCCCATGCCAGCAGGGCCGTGTTCCTCTGGTGTCATCCTAGTCACTTACTAAACCTGATATTTCAGAGCCATGAGTCACAGCAGGACTCTCAGTGGAGTCTCAGTGCTATTGCTTCAGCAGGCCTGACTTTCCTTAAGAAAGGTAAGAGGGGGATTGAAAAGCCTGTGCTGGGGGTAGTGAGCTGTGCAGACTCAGGAAGGCCAGGCTGAGCTTCAAATCTTGGTTCTGTCACACCTGGATACATGGACGGCTCTGGACAAATGGTTGAATAAAGTGAGTCATACAGCTGTAAACCCTTCTGAGCTGAGTCCTCTAGGGAGGTCCTGTGTCTTATTCATCTTAGCACCTAAGAATTGCTCATGACATGTAAATTGCCTTGAAGGATGAAGAAATAGCAGGAAGAAAGAGCAGGAGGGAGAGAGAGAGGGAGAAAGAAAATGAAGGAGAAAGGATAGATGAATGGATGGATTCTCTATCTTAATTTTATACTGAGGATTCAGAGTCAAGCAAGGTTAAATAATGAATATCCAAGTGGGCACTGGTGACTCATGCCTATAATGCTAGCTACTCAGAAGCTGAGATCTGAAGATTGAGGTTCGAAGCCAGCCTGAGCAGGAAAGTTTATAATACTCTTACTTCCAATTAATCAACAAAGAGCTGGTACTGGGGGTATGGCTCAAATGATAGAATATCAGCCTTGAGAAAAAATGCCCAGAGACTGCCTCCAGGCCCTGAGTTCAAGCCCCAGTACAGGAACAAAATAAAAAACAAAAGATAAATAGCAAAAGGAAAAATCAACTCCCAGATGGTTGTTTATGTATCTGTCACCTTCCGTTAAATTATATACACTTTGAAAGCAGGAATCATTCATCTGCAAACCTGTAATACCTAAGACAGAGCTTGCAAAATACTATTTGTTCTGCAAATGAATAGATAACGGAGGCTTCCAAAATGTAACTGTACAATTCCTGTTACCTAACATTTGCCTGCATCATTCTATCCCTGTTCCTTGCTGATCTAGATTCAAAAGAAACAGCTGTCCAACACTACCACCCCCTAAACAGAGTCCTCTGCAAAAGAAGTTAAGTGATTAGTCATCTAGAATCATAGTGCTCATCTTGGCTTTTTTAAATACTGGATTTTGAACTCAGGACCTTGGGCTTGCTGTGCTGATTCTCTGGCACATCTCTAGCATTGGTTTTGTTTTTTGTTTTTTAAATAACTGGGCTGGCCTTGAACTGTTCCGATCTCAGCCTTCTGAGTAACTAGGAGTAAAAGTGTGAGCCACCAGTGCCCAGCTTCCAACTCAGCATTCTTAATCTTTGCAGTACTTGTTTTGTACAGCTGGGATAAAGTGAGGTCAGTTTCCAAATGGGAGTTTTTGCTTTCTTTCCTCTTCTGTGGGAGTGCAGTCCTAGGGAAGGGCTCAGAGTTTTAGTGCTGGCTTTACATTGCAGTAGTCACATGCAGTCCTGGGGAAGTGATGTAACTTGTGTGCAGGTGTTTCCAGTTCCTAATTGGTGATAATATTAACTATTTCATAAAAGTGATTAAAATAAAGCATCTAAAACAGGGCTTGTTACATAGCAGGTGATCAGATGGCCCATATAACAGCAACACATTATGAGAAAAAAACTAGCATGAGCTTGGAAGTCATAGACCTGGATTGGAAGGCTGTTTCATCACTTTTTAGCTATGTGATCTTAGGAAAATTCCTTAATCTATCAGACTTCAGTCCCCTTTGTGAAACTGAGCTGATAGTAATGTTTATATTGCAAGGTTGCTGTAAGAATTAAATGAAAAAAGCATATAGGACTCAATATAGAGCCAGGCCTGATGGCTCATGCATGTGATCATGGGTCCTCAGGAGGCAGAGATTGGGAGGAGGAGGATTTGAGGTCAGCCTGGGCATAATATTAACAACACTCAATCTCATAGACTAAGTCATGCATGATGTACAGATCTGTCATCCCAGCTAAGTGAGGCATAGGTAGAAGGATCATGGTCTGAGACCAGCCTCAGACAAAAAGCATAAGATTCTACCTGGAAAAAAAAAACAACATAAGCGAAAACAAAGCAACTAGAAGTCTGCCTTAAACGGTAGGGCATTTGCCAAGCAAATGAAGCCCCGAGATCCAACTCTAGTACCACAACAAGACGAAAGCATCTAGCGCCGCATCCTTCATTAGATGTGAAACTTGAGAGTAACGTGCTTGCTCAGAGTGCTGCTTTTCTATCCATCCTTTCCTATTTTCTTCACCCTCCCTTTTTCCATTTCTTTATTTTCCAAAGCAATTTATATGTCATGAACAACCCCTAAGTGTTGGATTTGGAGGCGGAGGACCGGTTTAGAGAAGGTGACAGACACAATCATGTCCAACCGGCTGAGTTACCTAGTACCCAGCTATCCAAAGAGGAACCAGGCTTAGATTGTTGGGTCATTATTGAGGAAGGACGAAGGCCACCTTCTTGCCAGCTGGCTGTCAGCAGGTATCCTTGTTAGAAAGGAATCCAGTGGCACTGCTCCAGAGACAGAAGAATTGCTGACAGGCCGCCAGACCTGACCAGACGCCTGGGTATAGACATAATAAAAGCTGTGTCTCGACAGTTATGGTGGTACACATTTGTAATCCAA